CCACAAAACTGCCCCCACCTCGCGTATGACCCCATCGCCGCCGCGCCAGCGGCCCTCCCCGCCGCTGCCCGGCCGCAGCTTGAACGCGCGCAGCGCCACGGGGTAGCGGCGCTCCAGGATTTCGGGGTCTTTGAGGGGGCGTTGCGGGGGGGGGGCAACGGGCGGGGTGAGGGGTGCAGCAGGGTGCGCATTTCGCCCCCTGTCGATGACTGCTAATGAAGAGGGGGTTGGGAGTGGGAGTGACGTAGAAGAAGAGCGAGGTGGTCAAGTGGGGCTGGGGCTTGACCCTTGGGATACGATCGTGTATCTCGACTTTTGCACGTATGGAAGGGTTGTTTTGTTGTGGGAGGGCACAGCAACGTGATCTTTGAGGCATGATGGCTGCACGGCGAGGGTCCAAGGGGCGCCGGTGCAGCCGGCGCGCCCCTGCCCGCGCGGCCCGGCGCGCGGCGCACGGCGCCGCACGCATTGCTCCTCGGCAGCGCAAGATGCACCGCGCCCTCGGCGAGCGGCAGGCGGCCGGCGCGCGCGCGGGCGCGCACCCGTGATGCGCGTGTTGGTCATGTGCGTGTGCACCCCGCTGCGGCCGTCCCAGCCTGGCCCCGCGCCCGCGCCGCCGGCGATCGTCTCATAGTAGCCCATGCCCTCGTCCCCGAATGTGAAGTTGTTCATGCAGCCCTGGGTGGATGGATGGGGGCAGGGGAGGGTGCGCGGGGTGTCAAATTGGGTGAGTGGGGAGAGGGCGCTGCGGCTGAGGGGCGGGGAAGGTGGGCGTGTTTTCGGGACAGGCGCGTGCGTCCTGCAAACACGAGGTAGCAGTCATGCGTGACTTTTGACTCGCTGACAAGGGGCGCAGAGGGGGTGGCCAAGGGGTGCTGTGCGCCGGGAACCACCGGACCGGGCGCATGTTTGGTGGGGGGCGACCGAGAGGCTGCGAGCCGAGCAAGCCGACTACCCATGAGACGGCCTGCTGCGGTGTGTCGCCGCTGCTTTTCGCCCACCCTGCGTGGCCGGAAAGACAGCAGGGCCAAACGGAGGGCGGCGCCCACCTGCGACGCCGCGGCCGCCCCGAACGCCCTGAGCACAACGTCGGTCACGCGCTGGCTGGTGAGGACGTTGCCGCCCACCACGGCCGCCTCCGGGCTGGGGTTGAGCAGGCACTGGGGCGGGATGACCACACTGATGGGCGCCAGGCAGCCCTGGGGTTGCGGGGCGTGTGCGCGCGCATGTGCTTGGGTTTGTGAATGGGTCGTCTGATGTGGCGTGTGTGCCCGCAGTGGTGTGCGAGTTGCAGTGTTGTGCAGGAGGGGGTGCAAGATGACGGCGCCGCCTGGGAGCCGGCCAGGGCCGCGGCGCTCCTGTCTCAGCAGCGCTAAGCAAAGTCTGCGTGTGCTTGTGCATGTGTGCGCGTAAGCGCGCTGAGCGCCCTCACGCGACGAAACGGGCGCACGCTGCCCCCCCCCTCTGGTTGCGCGCCTGGTTGAGGGGCACGTCGCGCGTGACCATGCAGCGCAGCGCGTAGATGATGGCCGAGTACGCCACCGCGGGCGGCGCGTTGCAGTTGCCGTAGACCTGAGCGCAGAGAGTGAGCGCGCAAAAGGGATCAGATGTGTGGGCATGTGCCTGCTTTGCACAGGTCAATCGTGAGCGTCGAGCGAAACGCGAGGTGATGAGTGGGACGGACGGCGGCTGGCATGACAGCCCGCGCCGCGACAGCCATGGTAGATGCCGGCCGCCCAAACCAAGCAGGACGCACTGCCTCGCTCAGTCGGGCGGGGGGCGACAAACCCCAAGGCCGGCCCGTCCCCAGACACGCCAGCCCGCGCAGGCATCAGCCCGCGGCGCGCGTCCCAGGGCGCACCTCCGGCCCCGTGCCGGTGAAGTCAAAGGTGGCGCTGCCGTCGCCGCGGTCGATCGTGACCGCCAGGCAGATGGGGGAGCCGTCGTCCATCTGATCTTCGGCGCTGACTGTGCCGACCTCCGGCAGGCCCTGCAGCACGCATAGGAGTGAGGAAAACATACCTTGTGTGCCTTGTCATTGCACGGCCGTGGCGACAGCGGTCACGAGGTCGGAGTATGCGCGCCGCGGCAAGGTCCCTCCCAAGCAGTGGATTACTTGCACCAAAAACCTGTGGCGCCCCAGTGCGAGCCGCTGGTCTGGCAGTTCAGAGCATGCGCCTGGACGTCACCGCTCCCTGAAGCCGCGCCGCTGCGCTGCATCACACTCAGACTTGACCTCAGTTCACGCACTTAGTATATAGTCAGCAGCCCCGCAAACCACGGTCCCCACCTGTCTCAGAGAGAAGTCGCGCAGCATGTCCCTCACGGCCGCCTCGGCGTTGGACTGGATGAACGCCATGTAGGCCTGGACTGTGGGCAGTCCGTGCTCCCGGATCAGCTCCCCCACCAGGGCGATGCCCTTGGTGTTGGCTGCCACCTGCTCGAGATGTGGGTTCATTTTGCATGTGATCCTGGCTGAACGTCAGGGTTTAAGATGCGAAGATGGCGCCGTTGAGTACAGCCACGTGCGAGTGCTTGTGGGTGCATTGTAGCTCGTTCAAGTCAAGTGCCACAGGATCAAGACATCACAAAAGAATCACGAAAGGATGTGATGTCACGATGACAACAGACTTCCAGGAGGCCAACCGAGTGGTGACTCGCCAGCTGCGCACTGATGCCAACACCGCCGCCCCGCACCCTCCGCCCCCAGGGTCTTGAAAGCATTCCGAGGCACCACCGTCACGCCCAGCCATCCAGACCCAGGCGCTCCCCCCCTCAAGGCGCTCCCCCGCCTCCTGGCGGCCGCGCCGGGTGCAAATTCTGGGTTCAGGGTTTAGCCCCGCCCCCGCTGCGCCTCCGCTGCAGCAGCCGCTCGCCTGTGCCTTCAGGTCTGACAGGTTGTCGCTCAGGTTGCGCGTGCCGCTGCAGCCCGCGATCGCATCCGCCAGCTTGGCTGGGGCCATCAGGAGGTCTGTGATGCCGGGCTCCTGGGGAAAGGTTGGGAGGGGGGGGGTTTTCGTGGCAAGAATACGTTTGTGCTGGTGTGTGTGTGTGTGTCTTTGTGTGTGTGTGTATGTGTCTTTGTGTATGTTTGTGTGTAGTTTTGGGTGCGAGGAAGTGGTGCGCGCGCAGACAAACAACTCGAACGAGCAAATCGGGGCGCCCTCAGGGCGAGCCAGAAAGCAGAGTGCTGACCGGGGCCGAGAGGTGCGGGCAGAAGGGTTTGGGGGGGTCGTGCGCTCGGAGCCTCTGCAACCATCGAGCCTGCTCTTGCACCTGTTGTTGCGTGCGATCATTCCTCTGGGTCACCCTCACCTGCACCCCCCCCCAAAAACAAACACAAATTACAATCGCTCGGGCAGACGCTCGCACGCAAGCATACGTGTGCACACGCGCACACTCCGCGAGCAACCCAATCCTCGCGGCCTCGGGGCCCCCCCCCGCCACCTGGAAGGCCCCGTCCCTGACGATCTTGAAGCTGACGATGGCAGCCCCCTCCTCTGCAAGCAGCTTGCTGGCCGGCGGCATTGAGCCGGGGCTGATCCCCCCGATGTCGGCGTGGTGGCCGCGGCTGGGGGC